TTTTTTTTTTTGTTATATAAATTCTAAAAAATTTTTCATTCATTTATTTAATAATAATAATAATAATAATAAAAGGAAAAAAGGTAAAAAAAGGAAATAAAAGGAAATAATAGGAAATCATAATACGTTTAATTAAATCATCATCTCCTTTTCTATTTTTCACATCCTCAATTGAATTAATAATAATATTAATAATAAATGAATTTATTTATTTAGAAAAAATTATAAATGTTTATTATTGATTATTATTATTATTATTATTATTATTATTATTATTATTATTATTATTATTATTATTATTATTATTATTATTATTATTATTATTATTATTATTATTATTATTATTATTATTATTATTATTATTATTATTATTATTATTATTATTATGAAATTATAAATTATTTGTTAGTAAAAAATAAATAAATTGACGATTTGTTATGTAATTTTATTATTATTATTTTTTTTTAAATTATCATTCCTCTCCTTATTTAATTTTTATTTATACCAAAAAAAAAGGAATTCGAACAACAAAAGAAACAACAACAGCAACAGTAACAACAGCAGAAGGTTTTTTTAAACTCGTAATTTTTAAAAATGGTTATAAAAAACTTGGCTTTGTAAAAAAAAAAAAAAAAAAAATTAGAAAAAAAATTTTTTTTATTAAAAAAAAAAGAAAAAGAAAAACGGGGTCGTTCATTTTTCTGATATTATTATTAATAATAATAATAATAATAATAATAATATTTTTTTTTTATTTTAAATAAAGCGACCCGTCGTCGGAAGGTCAGGAAAAAAGCACGCACACGCATGCACGCACAAAAAATGAAAATTAATTTTTAAGAAAATTACCAATACGTAAGTGGTAATAATAATAATCAAAAGAAGGGTGGGGAAGGAGGAGGAGGGGAGGGGAGGAAAAAAATGTAAAAGAAAATGAATGACGAGCGAAAAAAAAAAATTAATAATATTTTAAAGACGAATTAAATTTTTAAAAAAATTTCTTTTATTACGTCGTCGTTACATTATTATTATTATTATTTTGCAAAGGCCGAACGATCAACCAATCAGAAAAAATAATTGGAAAAAAAAATAGAAAATAATAACGATAATAATAATGATAAAAGTTTTATGCTTCGCTTGTAATTTTCCTTTAATTTTTTTTTTTTTTTTTTTGTACGTTTACATGAGAGTGAGTGAGAGGGAAAGATAAGAGAAAGAGAGAGAGAGAATGAGAATTTTCCATGTTTGCTCATTAAATTTTTTTTTCCTTTCCTTTGTTTTCTTTTCTTTTTTTTTTTGTGATAATAATGAAATTTTAAAACGGAAAAGAAAAAAAAAATTTTTACGTGGATAATAAATAACTTTTTTTTTTTTTCCATCGAATTATTAGAAAGAGAGACAAAAAAAATTATTATTATTTTCATTATCATTATTATCATCGACGACTTGATCACGACCAATCAAAGATTTTTTTTTATTATTTTCCTTTCTTAAAGTCATTCATTCCATTGTAATTTTTTTTTACGATTTCATCAATACGATTTTCACCTTTTTTTTTCTTTCCTTTTATTCTTTTTTATTATTATTATTGTTATTACGAAGAAAACACTCGAAAAAATTTTTTTCCTTTATATCCCTTTTCTCTCTCTCTCTCTCTCTTTCTGTTTCTTCCTTCCTTTTGAAATCTTCCTTTAATTTAGTCCGTTTTTTTATTTATTATTTTTTTTTAAAATTAAAATCGGGACAACATTTAAAAGGTTTCCAAATAAAAACAAAAATAGAAAAAAAAATTTTTTATAAATCAATTTCCTTTGTATTTCCTTTGTTATTATTTTTTACTCCTCCTCCTACTTTTGACGCCATTTTGAATTTTGATTTATTAAATTGTTTTTTGATTTATGTGTAAAATTTTTTTTTGTTTTCGTATTTAAAAATAATAAATACAAATATTTTCATCGACTTCTCTTCTCTCTCTCTTTAGTTACTGGAAAACCTTTTCCGGTCCATTCACGACCCGGTCGTTTCTCTAGAATTTTCCACGTACACAGTTTTCACCTTTTCCGGTTTACGATCCCGATATTTTTCTAAAATTTTCCACGTTCACACAGTTTTCACCTTTTCCGGTTTACGATCCGGATATTCTTCTAGAATTTTCCACGTCCTATCTCATTATGATGATGATGATGTTGATGGTAATGATGATAATGATGATGATGATGATGATGATTGTTAATCAATTTAAATTATTATTATTATTATTATTATTATTATTATTATTAATATTAATTTTTAAAAATTTATTCTTCCGGATAAAATAACGGTCAAATTTCGTTTTCAAGGTCACGAGTAAAAAAAAATTTTTTTTCTTTCGTTTTAATTACGGTTAAATGCAATTTTTTTTTTTTTTGAACCGTAGCAAATTTTATAAATATTTCTTTTTTTTTTTATTGTTTGTTTAAAAAAATTTTTTTGTTTTACATAAAAGAAAAAAAAAACCTCACAAAAGGAATAAATATGTGTTGAATTTAAAAAGAGCAAAAAATGATACAACCGTATTTATTTATTTATTTACTTTTTTTTTTTTGCTACGGTTAATATTTATATAAACAATTTTAAGTTTTTTTTGTTTTTTTTTTTTACCGATAGTTAAATTCGTTTTGTTTTCATTTGTTTTTTGTTTTTATTAAATTTATTTTTTTTTCTTCCCTTAATTCGTCCTTCTCGTTTTTCCTTTTTTCCTTTTTTTTCATTTTATTATTGTCATTTCCTTTTTTTTCCTTTTTTTTTTTCTTAAAATAATTTTTTTCTTTTTTTTTTATTACCATTACATCTGTTTCATTTTCAATGTACGATTTTGACTTTTCTTTCTTTCTTTCTTTCAATTTAATTCTTTCTTTCTATTTTCTCCGGGAAAATTTTTTTTTTTTCTTTTTCAATTTTGATTTTATTATACTATTGTTGCTGTTGTTGAAAGAAATCATAAACAAATTTTTTTTATTTATTTAAAAATTTATAAACAAGCAAATAAAATTACATAACAACGTCATTTAAAAATTTTTCTTTTTTTTGTTTTCTTTAATTAATATTATCATTATTATTATTATTATTATTATTATTATTTTGTTTTTACGCGGAAGAAGAAGAAGAAGACGTAGAATGAAAGAAAAAAAAACATTTTTCATTATTATTATCATTATTTCTTTTTCGTTTTTTTCTCATTATTATTTTAAAACTTTTCATTTTTATTTCACGGAGTTC